ACTCTCTCTAATCTCTTCATCTGTGAAGTAGGGAAAATAATACTTCATAGGGTTGTTTTCAGGACTACATGAAATCAACTAGTCTCAATCTAAGAGGTACCTATGACTGGCGGGCAGGCAAGGCAAGGCCAACATCCTGAGGGTGTTGACTCCTTTCGCCTAGATTAGAGGTAGTGATGTGAACTCGGGAGCCTCAGCAGGGCTCAGCCTGAGAGGCAGCTGACAGAAAAAAACTCACGGAAAGGAGACCACGGGGTAGGGGTGAGTTTGGCTGATGTTCGTCATCAGAGGATACGTGTAGCTTAAACTGAGCATTGCGGAGTCAGATTGATGAAGTCTAGGTGAACCTGCATGAGAATAAAGGGCATGGCTGTACTTGGTCTAGGAAAAACAGAGAGGTGGCCATTAACCTCAGATCTCCAGGGGGAAGCACCTTCTTCTCTCATCCTCACTCACTGCAAACTGTTTAATTAAATAAAAGTAATGGTTAAAGTTTGCTGGGCATGTGCTGTATGCCAGGCACTGGAGCCTGAACACGGCTCTCTGAGGAGGGTTCTGTTATTAGTCCCATTTTACAGAAGAGCAAACTGAGGCTTAGAAAGTTGAAAGACTTGCCGAAGCAAGCAAGAGAGCCAGAATTCAACATCTGTCTGATTCCAAAGCCCATGCTCTTAACCTCCGTGCCAGTGGTTCTCAAATTTCAGTAAGCATTTTAGAGTCCTTTGGAAAAAAATAAATAAATAAGTCACTGGGGAACTTGTTAAAATTGCCAAGTTCTGGTCCCTATCCCAAGATTTGGATATCTTTTTGGCATTTTTTACTTTCCATAGGATCTTTTAAAAGAATCGAAATGATTTGTTTTGTTGCTATAAATAAAGCAGTTTATTAAAAAGAATACTGATGGAGAGTTCTAGGCACGTATCTGTGGACTCAGTGCCTGCATGTTGAAATTGCGAACTCTGTTCCATTACCTAAGAGACCCCATAAATCTCTGGGTGGCAGAACTAAAAATAATGGTAGACACTGGGAGGAACTAAATCACCCCGTTAGGACAAACTCTAGTTTTCAAACTGAACTTGGGGAGACCCAGAGCCTCCTTGAGGAGGCATGAAAGCCCACCTTGGTTGTGGGGAGGGGAAGCTGACCCAACAGGGGACCCTTCTTCCCTCCCCATTCAGTCTGAGCTGGCCTTCTTTTACATATTTATTTTTATACTTGGCTTTTATGTAAGATCCCTTCCAAAGAAAGGAGGTGGCCGCATCATGAGCAGTTAGGAGCACAGACTAGCTCTGGTAATAATTAGCTGTGCAACTTGGGCAAATCCCTTAACTTCTCTGAGCCCTAGATTGCTCATGTAAAATGAGAACTTCATAGGATTATTGTGAAGATTTAATGAGATAGTGCATGTAAAAAAGATTTTGACCTCCAGCACATGGCACATTGTAAGAAATTAGTAAATATTGGTTGTGTTATTATTTTAAAGGGTTCAGTGGCTGGGAAGTTTGGAAACCAATATCCCCATCCATCAAACATGGCACCATCTACAAGGGCCTTTCCAGTCAGATGGGGAACAACACGGTCTGTCCCCCAAAATGTCTGGTTTTGGCGATCTGACTATTCTGTAGAATTATTCCTCAATGGTATTAAAATAAAGCAAGGTCTGGTGGCTGATCACTCATTTCCCACCCCCCCTATCTCCCCATACTCCCACATTCCTATCAGGCAGCCCCTCCCAGCTTGCTTACAGAGAGGGGGAGTCCACAAGTATCCTCATTCTTCTCCATGGTGAAGACCTGCGACCTTCCTCTATCTTGCTGACCTTGGAGCATGCTGAGAAGGCGCCTTCCTTCAGGACCCAGTGGCGAGTCTTCAAGAAGCAGCTGCTCAAGACCACCTTAATTTTCTGTGGCTGGCAATGCAGGGCCATCAATACCCAGGACAGTTCTGCAGGACAAGACCCAGGGCAGGGGTCTCCTGAGGCTCCTGGGATGATGCCACAGGAAGAGGGACTAGTTCTAATCTGGGTGGAGGAGACATTGTGGGGATATTAATCCAATCTGCAATGACTCCCTTAAATAACACTCCCCTCACAGAAAGTGAGGCTCCTACTTATAGGCAATCAGTATAAAGCTTGAGAGTTTCCAGGCAGCCATTCTCTGTCACGTGCACCGAGAGGCAGGAAAAGCTGGTGTGGGGAGAGAGGAGCAAAGCTGTGCAGATGCAGAATGTGAGAAGCAAGACTGAGGAGAGAGGGAGGCAACTCCCCGGTTCCTGCCACTTCCCCAGTTCCAAGGCCTAGTCCCTGAAGACCCTGGCTGGAGCCTACCCTTGGTCTCCATGAGACTCCATTGTAATAAATTCCCCTGTTTTCCATTAGCCAGTCCCATTGGTGTGTGTTACTTGCCTGGCAAGATTGTTTTTATTTTTGGAGATATTAATTTGTATTGTTCTTTGATTTCCCTCTCATGCCAACAGGTAGCTTGGACCTTAGCAGTTTCTGAAGCGTCTAAATTGCTTGAAGTCAATGTAAAGAAGCTCTCGTAAAAGCCTAAATTCATGAAGAAATAGCACTGAGGGGAGGGAGGGAGCACCTTTGAGAGCTGTGAGGGAGGGAGGGTCTTTAAGTCGTCTTCAGGACTTTTTAGTTTTAAGAGCCAACAAACTTGGTTTTATTTTATTTCATGATCTCAGTTGTACTTTAAAAATTTATTTTGCTCAAGCCAACTAGTTTGTTTTCTGCTATGTACACCACAAGGTGTCCTGACATGGCAAACACCAGTGCTTTTTGGGAGATGAATGAGAAGCTAGTACTTAACCCTTTTCTTCTTACTGCGACTGGTCTTTTCACACTTGCTATTGAATTTGGGATGAACTGCTTAAAAGTTAGTTGTTAAAAATCAAAATGTTATGCAAATACTACTGTAAAACATTTCTGGACTTGTTTTAGTTGTATTTAAAGGTTTTTTTCCTTTCCTTTTTAAGAGCTCACTGTCTGTATCTTGGCAGGCATGTTTAGTCAGAGGTATGGGTTATAATTTAAGAGCAGGTACTTTGTACCAGTGTGTGTTGTGGGGGGCGGTTTAAGTCAGTCACATAACTTTCTGCTATCACAATCAAGAGTATATTGTGATACAGAATCCCAAATAACCATATTAATAATAGCTAATACTCAAACAATGCTATGAAGTAAATGTGCTCTTCTCCCCAGCAGAAGAAATTGAGGCATAATTCATACCCAGTCTATCTTGCACAGTCCATGTTCTTATTTACCTGAGAAAAAATTAACACAGAAAGAAAATCTGTCTCTCAATGCATGCAAACACAATGATATATTTTACATTTTCTGTGGAGGGACACATGCAGCATTGTAGAATAATGCTTGGTGAGGCACATGCCCTGGCCTCACCTAGAGACTTTGCTGACATGGGGACAACTCTCTAATGAGCCAGCACCTACTCAGGGTTTGACTAAAACACTCCTGGGTTGGACTTGTCACCCCAGTCACTTCTACCTGCCCAGCCCTGCTCAACTGTCATCTGAATTCCCCTCCTCTGCAACAGTGAATATTCCCAGGTGCTGCCTAAATGTCCCTCAGAATGAGGATTCTGGAGACAGATACTCTTGGGAAATACATGTCATAATCTGCTTTAAAAATCTTACTTGTAAGGGAGTTACAGTGGACAGTGGAATGTTAAGTGTTCTGCGAAGTACTGCAGCCAAGAACAGTTTTGTTTAATCCAGTTTTTCCTACATCTTTTTGACAATAGAAAACAACCCCTGCCCCGCCTTTTTTCAGTGTAATGTCTATTGAAATCCCATAGCACTGGTGTCCCACAAAATATATTTTAGAAAACACTGGCCCAATCTTATTACACTGATGGATAGTGACTGCAATGGGGTATGGGTGGGGACTTGATAATATGGGTGAATGTAGTAACCACATTGTTTTTCAAGTGAAACATTCCTAAGTGTATATCAATAATACCTTAATTAAAAAAAAAAAGAAAATACTGGCCCGTAAGTTAAGCACTCCCTAGTTTTGAATGTAATTGAAGCTTCATCCCAAAGCTAGATTATCCAATAGACCACAGCAGGAATGCCAAAGAAATATTTCCTGAAGGAATTTGATTTTTAAAAAAGCAGAGTAGTTATTTTAGGAAAACCAGAATTTTGTTAAATTGAAATGTTTTGGGGGTTAGAATTATTTCAGCTGTGGAGGACCTATGTCTCAGGGACACCATCTGTTGGTTCCAGGACCCAGCTTCTGCTCTGCCACAGGGTGGGCGTGGGAGTTACTTGTACTGCCTGTGGGAGACCCTGTGAACCTGGCCTTTCTGTAATATCTGCCACAGTGGTCTTGGCCCAACAAGAGTTTTGCCTCTGTTTCCCTGCCTAGCCCTCCCGGGGCTGCTGGGGCTATAGCCTTTGTCTTTGGTGGTTCATCAGCTCCTCCCCGCAGAAGATTCAATTTCAGGCCAGTAGTTGGACTCCTGGGAGCTGGAGGTTGGTGAGTCATCCATTCTACCTCTGCTATAGACTGAATTTTCATGTTCCTGCAACATCCAAATGCCCAATATGATTGTACTGGGGCATGTGGGAGGTGATTAGGTTATGAAGATGGAGCCCTCAGGAATGGCATAGGATTCTACCATGTGAGGACATGGAGAGAAGACAGCTGTCTGTGAACCAGGAGGTGGATCCTCACCTGACACCTAATCTGCCAGTGCCTTGATCTCAAACTTCCAGCCTCCAAAACTGTGAGAAAAAATTACGTTGTTTATAAGCCACCCAGTCTGCGGTAGTTTGTTATGGCAGCCTACACTGAGACAACTTCATATGCCCAGCCACCTGTCCCCTCACTGCGAATCACCTCTGCCTGGAAAAACTCTTTGGATGCCAAGGTCTGACTAAAACTCACTGGCCCACCCATACCCTGGGACACACATTTGTCTGGGCCTTCACAGAGTTACAGTGTCACTCTGGCCCCCACTTCTTCGCTATACTGACATAAATTCTCTCAGATTTACCTGAGTGGGCATAGTAGCTGTCACTGCACAGGCAAAGTACACTGCTGGTTGGGTACTCATCACAGCACAGCTTTCTGCTGCAGGACGACTGCTCCAGGTGTGACTGGGGGAAGCTTCACTGGTCCTAGCCATGGTAGAGGATATTGTCATCCCTGAGGAGTTGGGGATAAAGGCTGTTGAATGAGCAGCCTTTGTGTCTGGTGACCGCCAGGCCTTTGCATTGCCAGTGCTGGGGGCTGAATACACGGGACCGGAAGGTGTCTGTGTGGCAGTGCTGTGATCTGTTTCAGACAGCATGCTTGTGGTAAATGTTGGAGTCAGGGGTGCAACTGTCGTGCCCCCTTCCTGAGCCCCAGACATGGTTGTTCCAGAAACAGTTGTCCCCAGGGTTGGGGGTACAGCTGTCATGCCCCCTTCCTGAGCCCCAGACACGGTTGTCCCAGGGACAGTTGTCCCCAGGGTAGTCAGGGGTAGTGCAGAGGTGTGAATCACTGCACCAGTTGTCATGGGTAGAGATTCTTTCACATCAGTGATTTTGTTCAGAGTTGGTGGGAATCTCACTGTAGCTGACTTCGCAGAGAGTGATTGTCATGGACCCTCATGATCTAATGTCATTGCTTGGTCTGTTTAATACTGCTGGAGCTGTGATCATGGTTGACTTATGAGAGCTGGTGGCCACTGATGATTCCAGTCCCTTGCCTATGAAGCCTGCTAGTGGAGTTGCAGTTGAAGCTGTCTAGTTCGGTGTTAGGATCTCAGCTGAAGTGGCTGTCCTTGGGGAGGCTGTGCTTCGGGATGTCCCTCCCTGGTCTTTCAGTGCAGAAGTCATCGTGGAATTGGACAGCACTGGGCCTTTGGAGGTTGTGATGATAGTTGTATTTAACTTCTCCTCCTGAGTCTCATGTGTTGGGTCTGCCTGTTCTGTGTACTCTGCAGAGCTACTGACTTGAGGTGAGGTTGGAGGGGTAATTGGCGTGGTGTGCTTCTGGGACTCAGATGTTGTGGTCTTCCTGGTTGTTAGTGAATTAGGTGGCACTGCAGAGCCCTGGTCTCTGCGTTTTTTGGACAGAGCTTAAGTTGTGGATGAACCCACTATAGTTCCCAAAGGCACAGAGTCTTTTGTGGAGGTTGTTGCATCTGACTCGACTCCTTGGGTTGTGTTAATGCCTGTAACAAACAAACAAAAAGAAACCAATACACCTGTTTACTCCACCAATCCAGAGTTCTTCTCAGTTGTCCTCACTTACCAAGTATCCTTACTGGAAGATGCAATAAAAAAAATATCAACGCCAACTACGCAATTACTGGCTTGCATTCATTTATGTTCCACCGCTGATCTGTACTGATAGATTTCAGCTGATGCAATCCAGGGACTGTGAATTTAACTAGTGCTGGCAACTGTGCCTCATTCGCCTCAATGACTATTCTAGAGACAGAGTCAACAAAAGGGGGAAATCTGTTATTGCATTTGGTCTTTGGTTTCTTGATGCTGTTTTTAATGTGCATTGAATATGATTCCAGTATTTAGAGAGATACAATTTTTTGTACAACAGGACAATTGCAAGCCATGTGCTTCATTTAGTGCAATAGCAGTCAAGGGTGGCATTGACATAGTTCAGTTTTCACCTTGCCTGAGTAAGGTGCTGCTCCAGTGCACAAGCATTGGTGCATTGAATCCTCACAACCAACCTGAGATAAGGACTATTATGTCTACTTATCAGGTGAAGAAACTGAGGCTCAGACAGGTGAAAACCCCTGTGCACAGTCACACATCCGGTGGTGGCACTGCATTTGAAACCAGGTCCATCAGACCCCAGGGCTCAATGTGTTCTCCACCACACTGCCCTACCTCACAAAAACATAGCTTCATTCTCATGGCTGAGCCAGCCAGTCTCTAGAGAGAAAGCCCCAATCAGCTATGTTGGGTCCCTTGGAAATCTTCCTCCTTCCCCTGGGCAATGGGCAGAAATAGGTCTATCACCTGATACCCTGCCATTGTATGCTTGAGAGTTGTCAAAGGAGTAATTCAGAAAACTGGAGTCGACTCAGCCTAGGTGGCAGGTTTGTCCTTCCCACAATCTAGCTCTGAGGGAAGATGACCCTTTTCCCCGATCCCTGCCATGATCGGGCTTCTACTCCTTCCACACCCCACTTTCTTCTAGCCTTATAAGGAACAAAGGGGTCACAATAGGGTAGAAGAGCTGGCCAGGATGTACGGAAAAAATAGGGGTATCTAGGCTCTAGATCTGGCTCTGTTACTGACTTGCTATGCCATCTTGGGAAAAACTCACCCCTCTTGGTGCCTCCAAGTCCCTCTTAGCACAGTGAGGAGCTTGGGCTGAATATCACAGGAGTCCTCTAAGCTCCAGTGATCTAGGGGTCTGCTTGCAACTCAAGTCCAGGCTGAAATGAACAAATGTCTCACTATAGGGGTCCCAAGTTTGTACTTGCAGAGAGAAATGTTTCCATTTGATCTGATTTTGTGGGTTTTTTTCCCATGTGGTTAACCAGTTGTCCCTGTTCCCTTACGGAAAAATCCATCCTTTCCTTACTGGTTTGTCATGATACTTGTCATTATGTAGCCAGACTGATTTCCATGCTCTCTTATTCCATTGGTCCACTTGTCTATTGCTGCACCAACTTACTGCTAATTTAATGTAAATCTCAGAATCTGGCAGAGTGAGTCTCCTGTCTTGCTGTTCAAAATCATCTTGGCTATTGGTGGTCTTTGTTCTTCCTCATATATATTAGAATTTTTTATCAAGTCTTACAAAAAAACCCTGCAGGGATTTTGATTGGAAGTGTGCCACAATGATAGATTTGGTAAGAATTGACATCTTTATGATATTTAGATTTCCTGTCCACAGCAGCTCCTTTGAGAAGCAATGGAGTGTAGCCTGGGCTCTGAAGTCAGATCATAGCTCGGTGATGGGGGACCAATCACCTCATGTCTCTGAGCCTTAGTCTCCTTAACTGTAAAACAGGGATGATGATAGTACTTGTTTCGCTGATGGCCATGAGAATTAAATGAGATAATGCATGTGAAGCACTTAACACACTGCCTAGCATATAGTAGGTGCTCAATAAGTAGAACCTGCCATTGGTAATGATTATATCCTTCTCTCACCAAAATTCGTGTCTGCTTCCTGGGTGCTTTGCCAAGGATACTCCTGTCCCTGGCAAAAGTCATGGATTCCTGGAATTGATGAGACGTGCAATTCCCTGCCACCTCCCAGTATCTTCCCCCAATTGTCCTCGTAGCTCAGGACCCAGGGTTGCACTCCTACCTCAGGCTCAGTGAGGCAGTGGTTGCTCTTGCTGGAGTAGGGCAGGGCAGGGCAGCAGGGGTCCCAGCCCCTAGGCCTTCAGTCCTGGGCTGTCTTGGGAGGGAACTAGCCTGCTCAAACCCCTAGCTATTGGTCTGGCCCAGATAGGAAAGACAGACAGACAGAGAGGGATAGCTAAGAGGACAGACAAAACAGAGGGAGTGAACAGACAAAGACAGCATCCTGGAAGAGTACAGATGAGCAAAGCCAAAGCCAGAAGCCTCTTGGAGGTCACCCCGTCATGTTCCTCCCCCCAAACTCACTGGTGCTCCAAGCCTTTAAGCAGTGAGTGCAGTGATCAAGAGTGAGGTGGTGGATGGCTGTGCTCACCTTATAAAACCTTTCTGGGGACACTACCTGATCTTCTACCACCTTCTTGCCCCCCCAGAGGAGGCTAGATGACAAGGGTGTATGCACACACTCACCAGGCTCGTCGAGGGCTCCATCCCTAACAGATAGTAGCAGGGGCAACAAAAGCCACCAGACGTCCATGGCTCTGCTGGTTGATGGTCTCGGGGGACACTAGGAAGGAGTCCTGACCTGAAGAAGGGAACAGACAACAGCTCCGAGACAGTGAGACCCTGCTGGCACTGGTGCCACCTCACCTGCCTGCTGACTACACCACCCTGTCCCCAGTAGTCTGATTCCTTCCCAGCAGGCCCCAGTGGGCTTCAGGGCTGGAACCAATGCTGATGAGAGGGGAATGGAGGGTGGAGTTTCCCATCAGCTGCAATCAGTGGGTCTCTGGTGACTCCCATTCCAATTGGTGAATGTCCCCAAGCCCCTTAATTGTCAGCCTTTGCTGAACAGCTGGGCAGAACTCTGGGCCTTGCAGCCTTTCTTTCATCCAACACTGAGTATCAGGTATACAGTTGATCTCACTGGCCCCCCAGTTCCTGGGCTGAGAGCTGGCCATTTGATTTTAGAGCTGGAGCTCAATCAAATCCTCTTCCCATTGCACAGATGGGAAAAACGAGGCCCAGTGACTTGCCCAAGGACAAGAATCCAGTTTTCCTGTCCTCCCAGGCCGCTCTTCCTATTGGCCAAGGTTGCCACAGCTTTCTTAGGAACTTGTTGTGGTTCTCAATGATCTTTGGTGTGAAAGTCACAAAATGGCCTCACAGGTCCCAGGTTCCCCACCAGAACTCATTCCCCTGACCCATAAACTCCTCCTCTGTGGTCTCGCAAGCCTCAGCGCTCCTCTCCTCTGGAAGGCCTGCCAGGACCATGCTTTGCTCAGTCATTCTCCACTGCACCAGGATGGAGCCGTCTTTACCTTCATGACTTGGTCAGTGGTGACCCCATCAGGCCAGGGCTCCCCAGAATGAGGACTAATCTCCTCTACCTTCAGACAGAGGGTGAAGGTAGGGCTGTCCCCTACATCAGACAGGGACTCCCAACCATGAGGACCAGACTTTCCCCCACAAAATATAGGACCCCAAGGGCAGGGGTTACCTCTCTACCATTAAGTCAAAACTTTTCAGGGTTGGGTTTTCTCTCCTATTAGACTGCAGACTCTAGTCCCATACATGCTTTGCAGGGACTAGATTTGTCTTGCCCCTCAGAAACGGGGCAAGGTTGCCCAAAGGGTTTGGAGATCCACCAGTTAGACACACTGATCCCAACACAAAACTTTATTGTCAACACACAGACGCCTGGCTCCATCAGCCTCGCCTTTCTCCTCTTGGTTCTTGGGCCTACTTAGACCCCATCTAGCTTTGGCCTAGAGCAGATGGCCTAAGGAATACCCATCCTTAGGACAAATCCTGGCTGCCTCGGCCAGCACCTCCTTCTGTGCTCATCTGTGCTGTAGGGCTCCCACTCTCACCCAGCACCCTTCTCCATCGTCCTGGCGCCTCTGGACTGGGGGCTAACCCCTTCCCAGTCCCAGGCACCTGCCCAGGCGTCAGGGAGGGAATGGGCTCAGGCCAGGCTATGCCGAGTCATCCTAGGGATGCAGGAAGCGGCAGCGGCTAGGTGTGCGTACGTGCAGGCCCCTTGGCTTCTGTCCTGCCTTCTCAGTGGCTGTCCTTGCGCTTGCTAAGGAGTATGCTTACGTTGGATTCCTGAACCTGCAAACAAGAGTTTCCTGGTCAATCCCCCAGTCTCACATGGCAGATGTTCCCTTATTCCCCTCCTCTAGCTTCAACAGCTGCCCCATCCAGGCCTCCCAGGGAATTACAGAGGATCCCAAGCTCAGGGAACATCCAGGCTGTGAACATTCACAAGGCTGCTGGTCATTCCAGTCCAGTCAGACGGTGTGGGAAGCAGAGAAACTAAATACGTGGGTCTGTGCCTTTTTCTCCCTAGAGGCTTCTTCTCTCAGGAGGGGGCTGCTCTTATACACCCTAAACAGAACCTGGCCGAGTAGGCCTAGGTTCTGCCACTGTGCAGGAACTGAGCTGGCCCAAGCTGCACTAAGAAACGGTAGGTGGGAGAGCTATAGAGATGGAGTGGCTCGATGGGCGGAGCCTGACGGGAGGGGCGGGGCTTCTTGGAGAAGGAAAGGGTGGAACCAACAGGATTGGCAAGACTGCTGGGGAGCCTGACAGTCTAGGGGGCCCGAGCAGATCTTGGAACACACAGAAACCTTGACTAATGGATCAGAGGTGAGGCTGGGCTGGGCTGGAGGGGGTGGCAGGGTGAGCACTGATTGAGTAGGAGAGGGAAGCTGCACCTTTTCCCTGTTGACGAGCGCAGTGATCAAGTCTTGCTGGCAAGTCATGTCACACGGATATCTACGGAGGGCCCACTTGCCACCGACAGGCTTGGTGGCAAGTGACTGTGCATCAGCTCCTCCTTCTGCTCCTGGTTGAAGCGGATGGAGCGTACCTCCTTCACTATCCTGGGGATGGAGCAGTAAGAGCGTTCTGACGGCTGGGGTTTTAGGGGGAAGGAGGAAGCATTCCCATCTAAGCCCAAGCTCCCAGAACCCTCCACCTTTAACTGGACAGACCCTGTGTGGTGGGAGGAACAGGGAGGTCCGGCTCCCGCAACTGCACCGATAGGCTGCTTAGGGAACCTGGGCAAGTCACTTAAACCTCTCTGGGCCCCAGGGTCCCCATAATAAAATGGTGAGGGCATTGGAGCCAGAAGGACCTGAGGCTCCCTCGACCCTGACTCAAGGGACTTAGGGGCACCCCCAGTACCCGCCCTACATGTTGAGCTCGTCTCGGATCTCCTTGTACTGCATCAAGTTCTCCTGTATTGCCTCAAGCACCAAGCAAAAGTTGTCGCATGTTTTTTCCGAGAGGTTCGAAGGAGGCCCCCAAACAAGTGGCTTCTCCGGGAGGCCAGATGTCTCCTGATGAGCGACTTCACAATGCACCAGTGGCAGCTGGTTGCTCCCGAGCTCCTCCTCCTCGTAGTCCCCTGTCTGGGAAGGAGGTAATGGGGAGAAGACAGACAGCTCTGTTGGCACCCCTCCCCCAGCCGGGACTCCGGGATTCTTTTCATTTCAGCTCCAGTCATTCTCAGCCTCTCTTCCCTGCTGTAGGAGCTCAACTACCAATGCACAAGCCCTTCCCCTACCTCTCTGGAAATTCTCACCCCTTTTCAAAATGTAACTCCGCCCTCCCTCTTCCCAATTTCACTTCTGATCAATCCTACCCAGCAAACTTCTAAGGCCTTATCTACTGTCCGGTCACAGCCAACGGCTCCCAACACTTGGGGAAGTACTCCACCCCACCCCCAACCTATTGGAAGTTTTACCCTTAAATGAATAATACTGTAGCTAACATTTATTGAGTCCTCAGTCTGTACCAAGCACTGTTCATTTACCTAATTCTCCTAACAGACAGACGAGGTAAGTACTATTATTATACCATCTTACAGAAGAAGAAATTAAGGCTTAGATTGGTTACCGCCCCTGCAGCCACCCAGCTGCTCAGTTTTGAGTTGCCATAGAAAAAGACATCTAGGAAATCCACACCCCTCAGAAGCCCCAATTGGTGAGTTGGCACTTATGGTGGAGGAGCTGCCTCCAGGTCTCAGGCGTGGCTTTCTCCAGCCCCTTGGGTGTGCAAGCACACCCTTACACATATGCTCAAGTTAGCACTCATACGCACAATCCCTTCCCCTCTCTGCTGCCCTTCCAGTCCCACTCACCTCACTGAAGGTTATCTGGTGCAGTTGCGTCTGCTCTCCAGACTTCATCATTTGCTCCAGATTGGTGGTCACCACAACGACCAACAGGTTGATGCCAATGAAGGCACCAATGGTGATGAAGATGGCAAAGTAGATGGCACCCCCGATCTCCATAACATACTCTCTCCTCTCCATCCTGGAGATGGCAGGCAGTGGCCCCGTCACCTCTCTGGCCCTTTGAGCCTCAGTTTCCTCATCTATGAAATGAGGAAATTATCTCTGGGGACTTATTTTATTATTAATTATTACTGGGACTTCTGCTGCCTCCCTGCTGTTATCCAGATCTAATGCTCACTCCTAATTGTCCCAGTAGCTGCTCTTCACTGAGCACCTCCTGTATGTCAGACAGGGGGCCAGCATTGCAAGGTGGGGATTTGCACATCAACATTATCAAGTTTTATCTATTGGCTACACTGTTTATTCATGCTTTTTTTAAATTTTAAAACATAAGTCAAGCACATTATAGAAAAATCAGAAGAAACAAATACAGGAAAAAGTCCTCCTGGTAATACCTCATGTGTAAATTTCTCATAAAATATTTCCCTAAATAGTAGTCCTCCCTCCCTCCCTCCCTTCTTCCCTCTTTCCTTCTGTGTGTGTGTACACACATACTGTGTGCCAGGCTCTATGTTAAGATATTTATACAAATTTTCTCTATTGATCCCCACAGCAAACCAGACATAGTTAATACTGTATTGTAACCCCCAATTGACAGGCGAAGAAACTGAGGCTCAGAAAAGAGATGAAGTAACTTGCCCAAGGTTGCATTGCTGGTATGGTGGAGCAGAGACTCAGAAGCCCAGTCCACTTTTATTGTGCACTATATGATTTTTCCACTACCTACATCATAATGGATAATGAACCTCTTTACTGTGCTTTTATTCTCACAAGGGGATAAAAAGAAAACAGTCAGAAGGACCCCCTCCCTGGAGTGGACTAGAGACAAATAGGGGTTAGATGTAATGGGAAAGAGGTAAAGAACAGAACCCAGCAGCTATCTATGCCAAAAACGACTGTGGGCAGCAGGCCTAAGAATGAAGGAAGTGAGAACCTAAGTTCCCAGGAGTCCAGGAAGTTTGCTGGGCTCCGTTATGGGGTGGGGGGCTGCCCTGAAACCTTAGATGCAATCACAGACCTGCTCCCTTGCCCAAAGTTTCACTACCCAGCCTGCTCTGAGAGGAATGGGGAGCTCCGCATCCTTGGGTGTGCGGGGGGGCAGATCCAGGTTGTCCCCATGGGCTGGGCCTGACAGACCCCACGGGGGTTCATTTCCATGAACAGGCCTGCGTTAGGGCTTTGAATGGGTGGAGTTTCAAAGGGGCAAGTCTTCAAGCAGACCATAAACCCAGAGGCCCCAGACCCAGGGGTCTCCTTCTTCCCAGTTTGAAGCCCAGGGCACCCTCTCCTGCTGGACTATCCTCATCTCAAGCCCTGGAGCCCCATCCCATAGAGAGATCTTCCCCCTCCCCAGTTTTATATGCCTGGGAGCCCCAGATCCTGCCTTGCCAGCTGGCAGCCCTCAGGCACTCACTGGAAGTCACTGTAGATGTCCACCCAGCCATCTTGGGTGATGCAGATGAAGAGAGTGTACAGGGCAACCTGCATGTTCTGGAAATGCACAGGCACGAAAGCACCAAAGAGAGTGACCCCAAACACGGAGAACACCTGCCAGAGAGACCGAAGAGTGTTGTAGGCCTCACCCGAGGGCCCTGGAGGCAGAGGCCATGCAAATGCCACACAGTGAATGCTGCCAAGGGGGTCACAGGGACTCTGGCTGGCCTGGAGGTCTCTCCTCTTCTCCAGACACCCTAGTACCCCCTGCGACCCAGAGGCTCTGTTCAGGAAAAGGGGTCGGGGTGGGGAGGGTACTGACCAGCATGAAGAAGAGGATGAGGACCATGATATTGGCCATGTCAGGCACCGACTGCAGGACGACACGGATGATCTGGGCCAGCGGCTCCACCGCCATGCACATATGCACCAGACGAAGCAACCTGCGGTAGAGCCTCTCAGCGGTGTCCCTCTGCCCTTCCCAGACCCCTCCTCCTCACTGCCCCCCACCTGCCCAGAGCTGATCTTCACCTGGTAAGAACTCCCCCATCTCTTTCTCGGGGTCCAGAGAGGTCCCCCTCCTTTCCCCAGAGTTCCCAGCTCACCTGAGGGTATATGTGATAGAGACGGCACTGAGTTCATTAATGAAGAAGCCCAGAAGCAAGATAAAGATGATAATGAAGTTGAGGATATTCCAGCCATCCTGGGGGGTGAGCCACCCCAGCGGGGTCAGACCCAGCCCATGGGACCACCCGGGTCTGCCCTCCCCACACCCAAGGATGTGGAGCTCCCCGTTCCTCTCAGAGCAGGGCCAGTCGTCTGCCATTCACTCATCCTCCTGCCCCTAAACATGCCACAAACACACGTGCACTCACCGCCTCATCCCTGGATCAACAGCCCAGTACAGTCTCAGAGACCCGCAGTGGAGACTCTCACATACATACAGCTAGTCCTGATGCTGAGTGCCCACCCTGGCCAATGCCCTGCTGGAAATGGCCTTGCCCGACAGTTAGGTGACTGGAGAGTGTCTGGATGTTCCAGCCTCTGTGTGACACACACCACAATCCACAGTACAATGCAACTAAATGTGAGTAACATGAAGGAATTCTGCTTCAGTAGCCAGTTCAGAGGCAAACTAGCTTTCACTGTATGGGAAAGAGAGACAGGAAATTTTTACAAGCCCTTCGTCCAATGAGGCACAAACTCATAGAAGCGGGGATGGAGAAAGGAAGCTCACATGTATGAAAAATTCAGGCACAACCACTACAGAGGGGAATTTGCTCTGTCTAACAAAGAATGGATCCATTTATTTTTTAACTAGTGATCCTACATCTAAAATCTGACCTATAAAAACTCTGTTTTGTACAAGTATGAAATGACATTTGTATAAGGTTGAAAACAACCAAAGTGTCCAGCAATTGGGCACCAGTTAAATAAACTACAGCACATTCATTCAATGGAGTGTTGTGTAGCCATAAAAAGAAAAATGAGAAAAATCTCCACATACTGATACAGAAAGCTTGCCAAGATCCATTAAGGGACAAAAGCAAAGTGCAGAACAGTTTATGGTATGCTGCTGTTAGGAAAGGGAGGACTAAAAATATATAAGCTTATGATTGCAAAACAAGAGACTATAAATATAAAAAGATTACCTAGAGAGGGTGGGGGAAGGGGAAAGGGATGAAGGGAAAGGAGTGAAGGCAAAAATTCTGTGTTCCTTTGCATATAGTTTGACCAATATGTATCTGCATTAAATATCCAAAAAGAAAACTATTTTTAAAGGAAAAAAGGTTCTTTAATATTTTGGGCAGTCCAGTCAACACAAGCCCTCCTGTTGTCCCACATTCAGAGTGTCTGCACCTACACATACACAAGGATTCACAATTGTGCTTGTCTACAGATCCATCAATCTAGCCATCCAGTGTTAAGCTTCTGCCATATGCCAGACCCTGAACCACATCCAGAGGACACAGGATTTCTGCCCTGCAGAAGGTAGATAGAAGAAGGTAGATAGAAAGTAAAGTTGAACTCCATGTGAGAGAGGTAAGTACATAGTACTGGGGAGACACAGGGCAACACCTCACGGTCTGAGAGAGGCAAGAAGACTTCCTGGAAGAGAAGATGTCTGAATGAATCTTATGCTGTAAGTAGGAGCGAAGCAAGTGAGTAAGCAGCAGGGAGCTTTCATAGACTAGGGGTCAGCGCAGACACGGGCATGGAGGGACAGGCAGCAGCACGTGTGTCTGTGTTGGGGAAGGCGACCGCAAGCAGTCGGAGCAGCTGGGAAACCAAAGGTGAGGCCGGAGTGATGAGCTGAACGAGCAAGGGCCTTAAGTACAACGAGCTATTTAGATGGCTCCTATAAACGATAGGAAGCCACTGGAGTATTCTAAGGATACTCTATGGCTGGGGAAGATCACTTTGATGTCAGGTGGGGGACAACAAGAAGCCACAGCAACATCCTGGTGAGAGGAGACAAGGCAAGAGCTAGAACGGGGTAGCAGAGATGCAGAGGGGGCAAGAAATTTGAGAAATATTTAGGTGGTGACCAAATGCTTAACAGGCTGTAGGGGTGCGGAGGAGGAAGATACCCCCTAAGGACAGGTGTAATGGAAGAGCTGGGGACAAAACTTTTGGGACCCTTATATGACTATGTCATATTTTGAGATGTTCATTTACAAACTTTCCTCCCTTCCCTGCATTTTCCCTTCCTTCTCCTAGCCTCCCCCTCCACTACACCCCTTCAACAGGGAGCAGGCTTTGTACCCAGGACCCAGGGGTAGCGATGGGTGGAGGGGGAGGAGGCGGAAGCAACCTCTAACAAACCCTGGCTTTTGGCACTGGGAGCCTGGCCTCAGATGAAGGTCGGGGTTGAGGACATCAGTTCTCAGCCAGGGATGATTTTGCCCTCTAGGGGACATTTGCCAATGTCTGGGGACATTCTTGGTCGGTCACAACTAAGAAGGCGCTGGTGGCATTTAGCAGGTAGAAGTGAGGAATGCTGCTGAATATTTTACAGAGCAAAGGCAGTACCCACGGCAGAGGATCAGCCAGGCCAAAACATCCTAAGTGTCAAAGCTGAGAAACCCTGGTTTAGGCGACAAGCAGAGTGGCTAGAAGGAACACGGGATTCTCAGGCTGGTCTTAATTCTCTTGTGCTAACAAAATGCCAAGGCTTAGCTTCAGAAGTAGAGGCCCTCCTAACTGCGGCTGAAAGGAACCTCAGGAAGATACGGAGGAGGAAATGTTCTCAGGGGACAGATGTCCGCCTGCACCCCAGGGCTACTTCCCGTAAAGAGGTGCGCTGCTGTGTTCGCAAAAAGCATGGTACTTCTTGACTGTGGAGACTGTAAAATAGAGACATACTATTCTACTTTCTGTTAATAAACATCCTCACAAGTGTTGTTTACACAAAGCAGTCTTTAAGACATCCAGACTCCAGGAAGGTTCTAGGTTCTACATTCTGTTTTCTATGAAGTGAAACCTCTAGCCCCTGGAGAGCTAATTCTAATTGGTTGTCCTGGTAATGGAATTTAAATGCTTCCTTTTAATGAAAGGGATAAATACTTGATAGGATTTTTTAAGCCTCTTCTCAAACATGCCAAAAGGCAAAATAAATCCCTTGACTCTAGAAGTCGTATTCAAACAAAGAGTTTGAGTCTTTGTCTCATTTAATGTAACTTTAAGACTTTTTCCTACTCAGACCACTCTATGATGCTCTCCCAATGGGGGTCAGCAAGCTACAGCCCAAGGGCCAAATCTGGTCAGCAGCCCTTTTTACTTTATTTTTAAAATTTATTTATTTATTTATTTATTTTGGTATGGTTAATGTACAGTCACTTGAAGAACACAATGGTCACTAGGCCCCCCCTATTATCAAGTCCCCCTACATACCCCATTACAGTCACTGTCCATGAGCATAGTAAGATGCTGTAGAATCATTAGTTGTCTTCTCTGTGTTGTACTGCCTTCCCCGTTTCCCCCCCGCTATATTATGTGTCCTAATTGTAATGCCCCTTTTCCCCCTTATCCCTCCCTTCTCACCCATCCTCCCCAGTCCCTTTCCCTTTGGTAACTGTTAGTCCATTCTTGGGTTCTGTGAGTCTGCTGCTGTTTTGTTCCTTCAGTTTTTTCTGTTCTTATGCTGCACAAATGAGGGAAATCATTTGATACTTGTTTTTCTCCACCTGGTTTATTTCACTGAGCATAATACCCTCTAGCTCCATTTGACATTTTTATATAATACAGGATAGTTATTTGATAAAATGTCCTCAATTGGGGTTTTCTAATATTTCCTCATGGTTATGTTTTTTTTTTGGTTATGTATTTTTGACTGGATGCATAAATGATACAGTATCTTTCCTAAGGCATCAAATCTGGAGGTTCATGGTATTTGCCCCTTATTGGTGATACTAATTTTGATTACTTGTTTAGGCCATTTTTTTATTTCTTCAGTTAAATTACTCTTGAAATTAAATAATTTGGGGAAAGGATACTTTGAGATTTTGTGAAATAGCCTGTTTCTCATAAGTTATCACCCTCTGGATTTATCATCAATTGATGATTCTTGCCTGAGTCAGTTTTAATCTTATGGTTGCAAAATGGTGATTTTTTTCCTAATTATTTCTTATATTTATTTGTTGGCATTATATTGTAAGGAAGAACCTTCCTTGAAGAAGAATTTCTGATAAACAGATGGGTGTTAGGAACAGCATAGATCAAGACAGAAAATTGGAAAGCCCAGGGGGCCAGCAGCCCTTTTTTCATAAGAGCCTTAGGCTAAAAATGGTATTTATATTTTTTAAAGGTTAGGGGAAAAATCAAAAGAAGATTTTGTGATACATGAAAATTATATGAAGTTCAAATTTCAGTGTACACGAATAAAGTACATTTGGAACACAGCCATGCTCATTCATCTATGTACTGAATATGGCTGCTTTTGTGCTCCCATAGCAGAGCTGAGTGCAACAGAGTCTGTATGGCCCACAAAGCTTAAAATATTTATCTGGCCCTTTACAGAAAGTTTGTTAACCCCTGCTCTTGAATCCTGTAAATTTAGGTGGATACTCTCAGTGACATTTCTCAGATAAGGAAATCAAAATTTCCCAAGATCACAGACTGGGGAAGGCTGGAGCAGGGATTGGAACCCAGGGAGGCCGCCTTTCTAGTACAAGTTACTTCCTGCCACATCACAGACATCTCAGAGTAGTTAGTCTCTTTATATACGCACACATACACGTGCACAGACACCCACACCCACGCACACACACACACCCTCCCCTCGGTTTTGGGGCCAGGAGTGCAGGGATAGGGACTGGGTGGGGTAGTCCCTAAGGAGTAGGGGTGATGGCAGGGAAGGCCCAGGATCTCACCTTCCAGAAAATCCAGAAGCCATTGAACCAGCCCAGGAGAACCTCACAGATAAGGATGGTCAGCACAATGTCATCTATAATAGAGAACAACTCATAGTGTTCCTACAGAGAAGACAGAAAAAAGAGAGGGGCAGAGAGATCAGTGGAGAGGGGCCTGGGCAAGGCCAGGACGAGAGGGCATTTAAGAGCACACTTTCTATGTGCATGCCAGGCACATGTTAAGACCATATGCATATCATTTCATGTTACCATCACCATCATCCTAAGAAGTATGTTTTATTCCCATCTTAGAGGTGAGTAATCAAGAGATGTGCACAAGTTCAGACAGTTAGCAATAAAGCTTGTTTGCTGACTAAAAACCTTTGCTCTTAACCTATAGAGGAGGGATTCTTGGGAGAGGGGGGTTGGGGGAAGCACAGTAGGCTCCAGGATTGGAAGGACAAGTCCTGGTCTGAGATGGAAGACACCTAGCCCCATCCTTGCTTCTCTGGTTGTTCCGACCACCCTGCTGCTCCAGTGCCCAAATCCCCTGGCTGGGCCTGACCAAACTCCTGGGTATTCCCCCACTCATGGGTCCAGGGCATGTCCTCTGGGTGGACAGTTTGATGGAGAGATGACTTCATGACTTTAAATTCTGTTTAAAATTCATCTTACTTTTATCTAATCACCCATGAAGCTGTGACCCTGCTATAGTTTGTGACCCAATTAACAGCTCCCAGCCCCCTGACTCCACCCTGGCCATTACTAATCATGTGGTCTCCTCCCTTTCTTTACCTCCATGGCCGACAGACCTGAGTCTCAGGGCTCACTGATGCACATGGAGGCTTCCTGCTACCCACACCTTGCCACCACCACCACCCACTGGTCAATGCAAGTGGGGGCAAAGCTTCTTAAACCCAGATGGGAGGTGAAGGTTTATGGACTCCCTGCCGGTTCCAAATTCCCAAAGGGCATCAGGGGCCAGGAGTGTCTGCTTACAACAAGGGAGAACTTTCTTGCCCTCACCTGTCCCCTCAGCTCCAACCTGCTGGCCACTGGAAGCAATAGGCTCTCCTCATCATTTACTGAAAGAGCTTCCCAAACGGTCCTCCTGCCTTCACTAAGTCATGAGCATTGATGGTTAGGTCAGAGTTGCTTTCTCTATCCACAAGCCTTCCATGACTCCCTGTGGCCTGGAGGGTAAGGTTCAAAGCCAGTTTGGCATTCACAGCCTCTAGGATTTGCCCTTCATAGACAGATATCCTCTCCCAGGGCTTTTAGCATTTACTGTGACCCATAGTTCAGATATACATTTTATATTTTATGCCATAATGTTGTCTCTCTCTCTCTCTCTCTCTCTCTCTCTCTCTCTCTC